GTTAATCCGTGAGTTGTCAGTTGATGTCGGACATTGAAGTATCAACCATCACTAGATTGCTATTTAACTCTTATTTCAAGTTCCTAATGTTTTTTCTCGGATACATTTTCATCACAGCTAGATGAAAAACAAGCCTCCAATTGAAATAGAAATATTTAACAACAATAGGCCAATAAACATTTTCTTGGTTTTAGACCAATATGGAAATATATAAATGAAGAAATTCATAAATTATTGGGACAATTTCCCTTATTAGTCTTTATGATACTAAAGGGACTTTGATTTGTTTAACATTTGAGAACCATTTTAACCTGTAAAGACATGAACCAAAAAAAAGCATTTATTGATGTAATTATAAACAACAATAATTTATGTATTTATAACGATGAAACTCGACTTAATTATTTGCTGGTATCTACTTGCAATAGATTTATCCATATTTTTTTTGATCTATATGGAAACCTCTTTTATAAGGTTCTGGAAACACATTCTTAGTGAAGACCCTTATTTGTTTGCAAGATTTCAATAATAAATGATAAAAATAAAGCATTGGACATTAATAGCTATCGAAAACACTTTATTGAATTTAAAAAAAAGTTCTCATAAACTAAGCTGAAAATGAGATTACCAAGGACAAAAACAGTTTTATGGAAATATATTTTTTATAGCAATATGCATTTCCAGAAAAGTAAAATTTACAAAATCTAAAAAAAATAAAATTTTTCTTCCTTTTCAATGATGAATTTAATTTAAGTTGTCAGACTCAGAAGAAGAGTAAACTATTTTTTTAAATCGAAAGCTAAATTCCTCATCTTTGTTGCCAAAGAATTACATTTATTTTTCCAATAATACATTTTGTGGCCCAGATTTCGATGGAATGAATTGAAACTTCCTTTAACGAATTTCTTTTCACACATACAGTGGATAAAAGTGTTGATTAGATCCAATGACAGGACCCAAAAGGTGTCAATTAAAAGTTTCAACAGTTTGAGAACTTTTTATACATTAATTCTGGAGATAATGATTTTGACATTGATTAAAACATGGCTACATGGAACTGAAAAGTTTATTCCCAGTGAAATTAAATAAATTCAGTTCTTCGTATTTTTCACCATTTCAAAGAATGCCAAGATAAAAATGTTCTTTTTTTTGTAATAAATATTTGTTTATAAAAATGAGGACAATAGTCCCAAAATTTAAATATATTTTTTAATAAAATCAATCAATTAAAATATAGACATTTTCATTTGTTAGACATATTTTTATATTGTAATAAATTTGGTGAATAAGATGAGGGCCAATAGTCCAATTTTGTTGGATAGTTTTTAAATAATATTTTGTTCAGATTGTCTAGACAGATACTGAAAGGCGGAATGTTGTTTTAAATTTGTCACAAAGATGAGGACAATAGTCCGAATAATTTAAATAGCGTTTAATAATAATCTTTCAAAATATAGACAATACTGAAAAACCTCAAATTAACTAAATATGGTGACAAATCAAGGACAATAGTCTTTATAATGTAAATAGTAATGCATAATTTACATCATCTCAAAATATAGACAGATACTGAAATTCAAATGTTGTAATAAATATGGTTTACAAAGATGAGGACAATAGTCCTAATAATGTAAATTTTAAATAATTTCAAATCAGAAATATAGACAGATCATAAATAAAAGACTTATTTTCTCCAGGCGTCAATAAACACCTTCAATCACCTGATTTTTTTTTTTCCTTAAATGATAAAAATGCCAAAAAATATATTAAAAAAATGCAAAAAAATTTATAGAAATAAACATCAGCATGCTTAATTTTTTGCAAAAAAACAAAAAAGTTTGTATGGAATATAGAAAAATAAATTGTAAACATTTATAAAAATTATATAAATTATTCTCGATAAATAACTGTAAAATTTAATCTGTTTTTTCCAGATTAATTTTCATATGCATATTTTTATTGTCCCAAAATTATCAATAAAATCTTATCCTGATTCAATGTGAAAATGTTTTAAAAAGATAGGATGTTTAATGTTTCTCATTATTAAAAAAGTTTGTTTCTCAATGAATTTCTCCTTTTAACTAAGAATTTTTGTTTAAAATGATCTAATTATTTTCAGCATTATCTCAGAAGTAAAATTACACAATTTTTTTAATTTTTTAAAGACACACTATCCATCCTATTGAATTTTTTAGGGAGGATTGCTTTATGATGGCATCGAAATTTCAATTTCTAAAAATTATTTAAATTTTTTTTAACAAGCAAAGACATCAAACTTGGTGAATTCCTATATTTATTGGAAATAAAGGTAATAATGAACAACCTAAAAGCCAATCAGCTTTAACAGTGAACATGGAAAAATTCGTTACAAAATAGAAAAACAAATTTTAAAACCAAATTTATTAATAAATAGTTCAAATTTACAGTTATTGAAAAACTTCTGGGATTTGAAACCTACAAAATTAATTATTCTTCAAAATTCATTTCCAAATGAGGAGAATGTTTTTATTCAACATTTGAAAGAAAAAATTATAATCATTGGCCAAATAAAAACTTCTCCACCATACAAGAATAACCTGTTTAAACATATTTTAAAACTAGGAATTCAGATTTGCAAATCAAGACAAAAAATCCTATGACATAAACAATATATTTGAATAACTATTCAAAAAAGTTTTTGTTTGGATGATTAATAAAGATTTAAAAAAAAAAATAGGACTCTACCAAAAACTATAAATTAAAATGAAATCTGTCAAAATCATTTTTCTACAAACTGGGTTGTCTGAAAAAGAATAGAAAAATTTCACCAGACTCAGTTCAACAACCCCATTACAAAAAGTATTTTTATGGAAAATTGTTTTAATATACTTTTTCCTTACAAAGAACATATATTGTATCCATATGAATTTATTGTAAAAATTTGTTTATTAAATAACCTATTGAAAGTTGATATGCTAACAAAACAAACCATAACTTGTAAATGTTTATTCCTTTAAAGAATAAAAAAAAAAAATTTTTTTATTTATTTATTTATAAATTGGTAAATAATAAATATTTATATATGTTTTAATACAATTGTATTCATTTTGAGAAAATTGTAAAGAAAACTTATTTTTGACGATGATAAACAATATAATATTGGGTAATATTTTTTGCTCAGTTCAATTCTTAAAAAAAAAATTTATGTTTCAATTTCATCATAGTTTTTATTTGGTCTAATCAAAATTTTTTAAAACAATTTATTTAAATTGCCAACCAATGAAAAGTAATTAAAATTTTAGTGATGTCAAGATGTTAAATAATATCATTTTGTCTTTTCAGATTTTCCAAGATCATCCAAAATTTTTTTTTTGAGTTCATAAAAACATATATGTTTCCAGTTTTCTGATGCCTTAGAAATTGTGTTTATCAAATTTTTGTTTATTTTGAAATATATTTTTAGTCTTACTCCTACTTAATTTTTGTTAAATTTTTCTCTTATTTAAAAAAAAAATTTTCCTTTTCTTTTTAAAATCAAAATTTTTGCATGTTTTTTTTTTTGCATTTCTCATTTTGCTTTTTATTCTTTTACCTGTTTCCGTTTTTTCTTCTTTTCCTTTATCCTTCTATTTTTTCCTTACCGTATTTTATTTTTACATACACAAACTCTTACTTATTTTTTTTATTCACACTTTTTAATTTATTACTTTTTCTTAAAATAGATTTAATGCACATCAATCAATCTAATCTAATTTATTTAAATTGAAAGAAAATCAAATTAAAAATATTCTGGTGACGTTTTCTTGAATTTCTTAAGAATATTTTTATGACTTCATTGAATGTTATAATTTTAACCTCTTCAATCATTATTTCCTACTCTTACATTCAGTAACCTTCTACCTTGAATGGCTTGTAGGCCTTGTATTAAAATAAGAAATAAAATTAATTTTCTCCTTTGCTTGACTATTTTGTTCCAGTTTATTAAACTTGTTTTTTTCTTAATCTCATTCAGTAACCCACTTCCTTGAATGGCTCTTGGACCTTTTATTGGGTAAACACACATTCTATGTATTTAAGCAGCAAATGTTCTTTAAGGCAAATCTTATTAAAAACAACACATTTTTTTTGTTCATTAACTTTACCGATCACCTGTTCCAGATTATGAATAAATCCTTCTCAAAGATAAAATTCCATCAGAAATTGTCCAAAGTTCATTTTGAAAGCAAATATGGTCCAAGCTTTTGACTTTAAGTCATCACATCAGGATCATTGTCTGAGAAGCATTATGTATTATTTGGAAAAAGGAAAAGACAATCGGTAAAATTAATTTGACACAAAATGTATGCTGTCTTTACTTTCAGCTCACATGAGCCATCCTCAGAGTGCTTATACAGACATGAAACAAAGATATCCATTGTCAAAGATAATATTTTCTTATTTTGACATAGAAAATTGTTATGTGATGATAATGGCCATGGAATAGCAGACACAGGTCATAAATTCATGATGCAGTTCTATGACGTCATATCACATATGATAGACTGAAGTTGTAATACTATCTATTGTGTGGTATAATATCTGTACAACCACTCTGAGGATGAAGAAAAAGACAATGCAACAGAAAATGAGTTTCTACAGAAGGATACTGAGAATGCCATTGAGCAAAAATTCAAGCAACGATGAAGATTTCAAGAAAATGTAAACAAAAAGAACACTAATGTTTAACATCAGGAAGAGATTATTGAAGAAAGAGGGCTTTGAAAATTTTAGGGTCACAGGACATTAAAAGCAAAAGGGACAGTGGAAATATTAATGGCTGGCAGAATAATGTTTAGGAGAGATAACAGAAAGACAAAATTTATTAAGAGCTACAAAGGACAGGAAATTGTGGAGAGCTATGATTGCCAATGTACTAAAGGGACATGCCAAATAGAAGTTGTTTAAAACTAATTTTCTTTAACTCCATCTCATTCTCTGTCAATTTTGTCATTTTGTTGTTCTCTCTCTTTTATTTTTTTTAGCATCCAATCTCTCTCTCACCCTCTTTTCCTAAAGCTTTTCCTCCTCTCTCTCTCTCTCTCTCTCTCACAGATGTTTTGTTTAGCTTTTTCCTGTCTCTCTCTAGTCTTTCTCTCTCTCTCTTAAAAAAAATTTTGTTCCTTCAACTTCCTGTCTCTCTCTCTCTTACAGTCACAGATGTTTTGTCCCTTCCATCCGTCTCTCTCTCGCAGATTGTTCCTTCCTTCCTGTCTCTCTTTCTCTTATAGATTTTTGTTCCTTCCTTCCTGTCTCCTTCACTTTTAAAAAAGATGTTTTCTTCTCTTCTCTCTCTCTCTCTCTTTGTCTCTCTCTCTCTCTCTTATAAGATATTTTGTTTTTCCATCCTGTCTCCTCTCTCTCTCACAGATGTTTTTGTTCTTCCATCATTTGTCTCTCTCTGGGTTTCATTATGTTTTTTTCCTTCCTTCCTGTCTCTCTTTTTCAAATGACAACAGAGTTTTTGTTCCTTCCATCCTGTCTCTCTCTCTCTCTCTCACAGATGTTTTGTTCCTTCCATCCTGTCTCTCTCTCTCTCTCACACATGTTTTGTTCCTTCCATCCTGTCTCTCTCTCTCTCTCTCTCTCTCTCACAGATGTTTTGTTCCTTCCATCCTGTCTCTCTCTTCCAATATCTCTCCACAGACTTTTTGTCATCCTTCCTTTGTCTCTCTCTCTCTCTCGCAGATGTTTTGTTCCTTCCATCCTGTCTCTCTCTCTCTCGCAGATGTTTTGTTCCTTCCATCCTGTCTCTCTCTCTCTCTCTCTCTCTTTAAATTCCTTTCATCTCTCTCTCTCTCTCTCAGTTCATCCTTTCTCTCTCTCTCTTCCATCCTCCTCTCTCTCTCTCTCAGCCAGTTCCTTCCATCTTGTCTCTCTCTCTCTCTTTCTCTCTTCATCCATCTCTCTCTCTCTCTCCTTTCTCTCTCTCTCTCTCATCTCTCTCTCTCCTTCCATCCTGTCTCTCTCTCTCTCTCTCAGACGTTTTGTTCCTTCCATCCTGTCTCTCTCTCTCTCTCATTTTTTTCTCTCTCTCTTCCATCCTGTCTCTCTCTCTCTCTCTCTCTCCAGTTCTTCCTTCCATCTCTCTCTCTCTCTTTCTCTCTCTTCTCTCTCTTTGTCTCTCTCCATCCTTCTCTCTCTCTCTCATCATTTTTGTTCCTTCCATCTCTCTCTCTCTCTCTCTTCAGTCTGTTTTGTTCTCTCTCCATCCATCCCTCTCTCTCTCTCTCTTTCATCCATCATTTTTCTTCTCTCTCCATCCTTCCTCTCTCTCTCTCTCTCTCTCTCTGTTTTCTTCCTTCCATCCTGTCTCTCTCTCTCTCTCTCTCTTTTGTTTTCATCCTTCCATCCATTCTCTCTCTCTCTCTCTCTCTCTATTTTTTTCATCTCTCCATCCATTCTCTCTCTCTCTCGCAGATGTTTTGTTCCTTCCATCTCTCTCTCTCTCTCTCTCTCAGATTTTCTATTCCTTCTCATCCTTCTCTCTCTCTCTCATCTTCCTTCCATTTTCTTCCTTCCATCCTTCTCTCTCTCTCTTCTCTCTCTCAGATTTTTTTTCCTTCCATCCTGTCTCTCTCTCTCTCTCTCAGATTTTTGTTCCTTCCATCCCTTTCTCTCTCTCTCTCTCTCCTTCCATTTTGTTCCTTCCATCCTTCTCTCTCTCTCTTCTCTCTCTTTCTTCCTTCCATTCTGTCTCTCTCTCTCTCTCTCTTTCTCAGATTTGTTTTGTTCCTTCCATCCTCTCTCTCTTTCCATCTTTGTTTGATTCATTTGTTCTCTCTTTCCTTTGTCTCTCTCTCTCTCTCCATGTCTTTTCCTTCCATCCTGTCTCTCTCTCTCTCTCTCTCTCTTTCTTTGTTTTTTCCATCCTTCCATCCTGTCTCTCTTCCATCATCTTTCTCTTTCAATTTTGTTCCTTCCATCCTTTCTCTCTCTCTCTTTCCTTCCTTTGTTTTTTCCTTCCCCCCTCTCTCTCTCTTCCATCCTTGTTTTGTTCCTTCCATCCTCTCTCTCTCTTCTCTCACTTTTGTTTTGTTCCTTCCATCTCTCTCTCTCTCTCTTTCACAGATTTTTTGTTTCCTTCCATCCTCTCTCTCTCTCTCTCTCTTCCAGATTTTTGTATCTTTCCTTCCATGTCTCTCTCTCCTATAGATTTTTTTTCCTTCCTGTCTCTCTCTCTCTCACAGACGTTTTGTTCCTTCTGTCTCTCTCTCTCTCTCACAGATGTTTTTGTTCCTTCCATCTCTCTCTCTCCAGATTGTTTTGTTTCTCCTTCTCTTTCCTTCTTGTCTCTCGTTCTTTCTCTCTTTCAGATGTTTTTTTCTTCCTTCTCTCTCTCTCTCTTTTATTTGCGTCAGATTGTTTTTTCCTTCCTTCCTTCCATTCTCTCTCTCTCTCATTCTTTTCTATATTCTTTTGTTCCTTCCTTCCTCTCTCTCTTTCAGATTTTTCTTCTTTCTCTCTCTTCTCCTCAGATTTTCTTTCTGTCCTTCTCTCTCTTCTTCTTTCCATCTCTCTTGTATATTCTTTCTCGTCCTCTCCTTCTTCCTTTTTTGTCTTCTCTCTCTCTCTCTCTCTCTCTCCCTTGCTTTGTTCTTAATCTCTTCTTTTTACATTCTTGTTTGTCTCTTCTTTCTCTCTCTCTCTTTCATCCTCTCCTTCCAATTCTATATTTTTACTTTTTCCCATTGACTTTTCACCCTTTCTGTTTCCAAGCTCAGACCTCTTTTTCCTTCCAAATATTTCTGTACATTTTCCTTTCATCGTTCCTTCAAAGTTTCCCTTCCCGTGTTTATGAATTCTCTTCTAGAATTTCTTCTCAACTCTTGGCCTTTTGTTCCAAGCCAATTCAAATGTGTGTCTCAATTTGTTTTTTCCATCATTCATTCTTTCTATTCTCTTTACCTGTTTTTCAAATCAAAAAGAATTCAATTCTTTTGGTCTTTCATTTTTTTTCTCTCGTTTCTTTTGTCTATCATCATCCAGATTACTCCAAAAGTGTCTTTTATTCCATTATTGGCAATGTATATATATTTAGGTTCATCTTTCTTTTTTTAGATGATTAAGGTGAGGATTAAATTTAGTTTTTCCTTTAATTCTTATCTTATTGTTTTTCAATTCCATCCTTCTTTCCATTCTTGGATTTTAAATCATTAAATTTAAAACTTTCCTTTTAATCTGTCTTATGAACATTTTCTTCTTCCTCTCTTTTTTCATCTTTTTTTTCTCAAACTGAATATTTTTAAAATTCCTTTTCCATCCTTCCTTTTCCATTCTTCCTTTCCTCTTCCATCATTTGAAATTCTTTCATTTCCTTCCTTTCAACTTTTCCTTTCCTTCCTCCCTCTCCCCTTCTTTATTCTTTTCCTTCCCCCTATCCTTGTTCCTTCCATCCTTCCTTCCATTCTTCCTTGCATTCTTTTCTATATTCTTAATCAGTATTTCCTTCCATTTTTCCTTTTTCAACTCCTTTTATCCTTTGTCTCTCCCCTCTATTCCCCTTTCCTTTCCTTCCTTTATCTTCCAAATTCCTTTCATTTACATCTTTCTCTCCCTCTTTGCAATTTCCTTTTTCCTTTTTTCCCTCTCATCCCTTCCTTTTCTGAAGATTTTATCTGGCAATTCCTCCTCTCCTCCCCCTTTCTGTTTCTTTTCATGCAACCCTTCCATTCAATTCTTTTTTTTCTTATCTTTCATTCCCTTTTCTTCTTCCTCTTTTTTTTCTCATGTCTGATTAAAGAATGCTGAAAGTTTAATCCCTTCCTGCTGTTTCTCCAACACTCCTTCCCTTCTCTGCCCCTTCCCTCCTTTCATTCCTCTGTTCCTTTCTTCCTTTCTCTGCTCCTTTCCTTCCTTCCTTTCTCTCCCTCTATGCTCCTTTCCTTCCTTCCTTCCTTTCTCTCCCTCTCTGCTCCTTTTCTTCCTTCCTTTCTCTTAATTTGTTCTTTTTCCCTTCCTTTTTTTCTTTCAATCTGTATATTCCTTCCTTCCTTTTTTTCTCCCTTTCTTCCTTTTTTGAACTTCCTTTCTTTCCCTCTCTGCCATTTTTTCCTTCCATTCTTCTGCCTCATTCCCTTTCACTATATTCCTTCCTTTCTCTCCCTATTGCTCCTTCCCTTCTTTTTTCCTGCCTTCTTCCTTTTTATTCCCTTCCTCCCTCCCATCCTTCCTTCCCTCTTGAATTATTCTGGGGTTCCTTCATTTTCTTTTATCACCATCTCTCATTCCCTTTGTCTGAAATTTATATAACCATTTTGCCTGCCATCATTAGCAATTCAAAGATGATTCATTTGTCCAATTGTTCCTTTCATCATTCCTTAAACAATTTTTTTATAACATCAAATATATTTTTTTTCTTTTTTATTTTTTTTCTTTTTTAATCCTTGTAAAATTTTGAGAAGTGTTTTTATAATTTCCTGGATTCTAATGTTTTCCATTTTGCTTTTATTATTCCTTCACATTTTCCTTGATATAGATATTCCTTTGTTAGGAAAATTAAAAAAATGTTAAAACAAAAAAAATGAGTTTCCATCATTCATATAACATAAACACAGCAAAATTCTTCCATTACCCAAGTAACCAAGTTCTTTTTCTATTTATACATGGTAGGTTCCTTTTGAATTAATTCCATTTTGAAAATCACTCTATCATTTTTATTCACAAATTAAATGTTTCATCCTTCCAAATTTTCCGTCTAAATGTCTTCAGCTTGTCTTTTTTTAAAAATTACTATTTGGTAGTTTTTTATATCATTTTTGAAATACAAAAATTCAATATTTCTTCTTTCCATGAAAAGTTTTATATTTTTAAAATCATCAAATATAACTTGTTTACACCTCAAGGAAATCCATTGCTGAATTGGATCCTAAATAAACATGTATATATTAATACTGAATGAGTTTTATTAATTAAATTCTTATTTGAGAATGATAATCTGCTTTAAAAATGTGGAGCATTTATTTTTCTAATATAGAAAATAGAAAAGTTTTTCCAAAAACTTTTTAATTCTTATTTGATAATATGAGATCATTCCAAAAAATCCATTATTTCCTTTCAACAAAATTTATTGTATAGAAAAAGCTTCCTTATTGTTTTACAATATTAATTTTGATTCTATATTTGGATTCCCTCTTCAGATGAATATGTTTATTCTTTCATTCTTTTTTACTTTGCCTAAACCAAAATTCAGGTTTCATTTAAATTCATTAAATTCAAAGACATCAGTGTGATGTATTGATGAAAATATTTTTTAATAAAAAAATCATTTTTTTCTTTTTAAATTCTTCTAATAACTTATTTTGTCAAATTTGTTGTGATTTGACTCATCATTAATTTTGATCAACCTTTCATTGGTTAGAGAATGAATAAATTTATTATTACCCTAAAAAATTAATTCTTGTATTCAGATTGAATCCATCAATTCTGACTTCCAATCTAATTTCCAATTTTCATCGTTCCTTTTGCTTCAGTGTCCAATTTCTTTGTCCCAATCATTAATCTGTTACATTCTTTATTTCATTTGAAAGTTTCATCCATCCTTTGCTTTTATTTGACCTTTTTGTTTTATTTCACAAATGCATGATTCATGTTCCTTCATTTGTCCTATGCATAGTCATATTTCCTTTTATTTCATGTTTTTTTAGGGGTAATATCCTAAATTTAAATCATTGTTTTTTCCTTTGTTCCTGTTGATCAAAATTCCAAAATTTAATTTTTACCAAATTTTTTTTTGCCAACCTTAACATCTCCACTTCAGTTTGATTCCTTGCTGTTTTTGATCACCCTTTCTCCATTTTTCTGTAGATATTTTCCTTCCAATTTTTCTTGATGAATTTAAGATCATTACTAGATTTCTTAAAAGTTTTCATCATTTCTGCAGTCAAAATGGCTAGATTAACCATTTTTCTTTCCTAGTTTCTCTTCCTTCCATTCTTTCTTTTGAAACTCTCTTCCTTTTCTTGCTTTCCAGTCAACTTTGATCTTCAAAATTTAAATGCAATATCAATCATTTTTTTTTGTCTTTCCAATTCCTCTTTTATTGTTCTCTCTCCTTAATAATGTTTTTTTTTCTCATATTCTCCCACAATCAGAACTGTTGTTCTTAGTGGCTTCTTTACCTTGGGGAAGGGTGAAATGATTAAAATAAAACAGAAAAAAACAAATTAAAAATTTGAATAAGTTCATTTGGAGTTCTCCAACTTTTTTCATTTGTTCAAGATCTGCTTAAAAATTCACCTATGCATTGTTAAATAATTGAACCAAAAACTTTTAAAAATATTTTGATAATTCTGAATTCAAGTCATTTTATGTTAAATCAACAAAGGGTACAAATGAAAAGTCATTTTAAATTGACAATCAAACGCCATCTCACTAAAGCAGATATTAAACACCTGAGCCTTTTTTTCTTTTCTTTTTATCTAATGTTATGGCATCCTGGGTAAGATGATAAACTACGTCCAACAGCAGGGCCTCTGATCAGGAGGCATTGAGGAGCGTGGAATTACCTCTTAATTGCTGATGTTTCCAGGTCTGACCTGACCCAGGGAGGTAGCATCTGTTAGGGTCCCAGCTATGGGCAAATAGTTAACCCCCCACACTGGTGTCAAAACAGTATAAAAATTTTAATAAAAATAGGTTTTAATACCAGAAATACATTTTTGAAAAAAAATTATTACCAGCAATTTTTTAATGAATTTTGAAGGAAAAAAAAATATTACCAACAATAAAATAGTTACCAGCAATGCAAATTTTTGAAAAAATATTACCAACAATAAAAATCTTGTTGGCATCAAATAACCCATTGAGGTTGATGTGCCGTAAAACAAACCAAACCATCTAATGTTATGTTGTTTCTTCCTTCATTGCAATCAAAACAGAATGGTCCATTATATATTTGAGGCAATGGCAGTGTGTGAATAACTTTGTAATCAATGGAGGGACAAGAACTATAACATGCTGTGCTTTTTGAAAATCATTGTGTTATCATCAGGACTTGCAGACCCTTATAAGAATAGAAATCTTTATTTTTATATGGCTAGTATTTTTACCAATAAAATATAAAGCATGAAATCTTGTATATTCACAAACATTTCTTTAATTTAAATTCTATAATTATCTTTAATATATTCTCTTTCAGTCAAGTCGGAGCAATCAGCGGACAATGTTTGCACCTGCAAAACTGACAGTGAGTGGTGTCTTTGCCAAACTAAAAGAAATAGCATTGATGACTGGAAACTCAGTAAGTATTTTAACTCTCATCTAAAATTGCTGAAGAGATATTATAATTTTACAAAAGAAAATAATTTACTGATCAGTTTAACCATTACCACACTAATTTCTTTCTAGATTTGTTCCCTCTGCATTCCAGTTTTTTTTTTTTTTTTTAAGGCACAAAAACAAAAAAAAAAAAAAAATTACATTAACAATTAACTTTTATTACTCCTTGTGGATTTCTGAAATGCAATAAGAAGCAAAATTGCTAAGAAGGCTCTTATTTCGTCAAAAAAAGTGATGTGCTTTCTCGTGTTTACACACGAGAAGACATAAGTATTTGTTTGGTCTATCTTTCACCTATCATGTTTATTTGTCTTGTTGACATATAGAGTTATTATTTCATTATTTGTAAATAGATGAAATAATTCACCTTTGGAAACGCCATCAGGTATATTGATGGTTGCCATTAGCTTCCATGAAATTAGTCAGCCATAGATAATAGTAGCAGCTAGTGATTATCAACGTTTTCTTCCACATAGTGACACATGGTTATCATCTTTGACCACTTCACTGTAAATATCCAGTTGAGTAAAATCTTCAAAATGATCATCAGAGTCTGAATCAAAGAAAAATCCTGAATAGAGGCTTCGTTGGATGTTGATGTTTACAAAAAATCACTATAGGTTTAATCAGTGTTAGGCCTTGTGTAGAGTCTAGAATTCAAAATGATATTGGAAAACAGAAGTTTAGCCTTGTTCCAAAGAAATATTAGGTGATTTCCAGCTTAAAATGCTGGAAATAACAGTTGGCAAGTGTTTTATAGCAACCGTCTCAAGTTGACATAATACACCTAGAACAGCTAAGGGAGAGAATTCTATGGTGACAATTTTTGTCTCCAGCCTGATAATGGTTAAAGCAGTATTTATTGCAAAGAAACCTCCCATGCTATTTCCACTGGAAGCAAAAAAAATCTTTTGTGTTAAAACCTCTTTGGGATCCAGTAGACATTGAATATGCAGTGGAACCTTGGTTCACAAATTTAATTTGTTAATGAAGGTTGTCCATGAGTTGAAATGTTTGTAAACAGAAACTATTTTCCCCCTCTTGTAGGAGTCAGTGTAAAATGGATAAAACCATTCAGGGACCACAAATAATTGCTTATTTAAATTAATTTATTCAGTGTTAGGTCTTGTGTAGAGTCTAGAAGAATTCAAAATGAAGGTTGTCCATGAGTTGAAATGTTCGTAAACAGAAATTATTTTCCCTCCTATAGGAATCAGTGTAAAATGGATTAAACCATTTAGGGATCACAAATAATTGCTTATTTAAATTAATTTATTCAGTGTTAGGCCTTGTGTAGAGTCTAGAAGAATTCAAAATGAAGGTTGTCCATGAGTTGAAATGTTCGTAAACAGAAATTATTTTCCCTCCTATAGGAATCAGTGTAAAATGGCTTAAACCATTCAGGGACCACAAATAATTGCTTATTTAAACTTTTACAGCAATACTTTGTGCACAAGTTTATCCATCAAACCAAAGAAAATAATTAAATCTAGCACAAATAAAGATAGACACAATACTAAACAGATAAAATAGAGATGAAAACTTAATTTAATTTTCTTGTACCCGTACAGCGGGGAGTTGATGGCATAAGTGGAACGTGGTGAGAAAGAGGAAGGGTAGAGATGTTATTGTTTGGTAGGGGGAATTCTCTTCCATAAAAAACACCATGTAACTGTTTTACACTTTTTGGACAGTTGTCCTCATCTTTATTGGCATGTTCACAACGTTTCAGTTGCTGTACGCTCCGGCCTTCTTCAGGGGATTGGAATTTTGAACTGAACCCTTTATTTCGTCCATTGGGGTAGATTGATCTAGTTTCCCATGCCATGCCTCTTCTGGATGTCTCAGTTATCTCCCTTTAACTCAACTCTCCAGGTTTTTGTCAATCACCCTGCAGCCAGGTATTGAACTCACAACAGTGGTGAACAAAAACTTGCAGAATTGAGTTAAAAATCATTAAATCTAACATTAAAAATAAGTTCCTCACCACCACATAGAACTTGCATCTAACCAATTCAATTGTGAATTGATGAAGAAAACTACAAAATCTAGAACCGAGTTACTGTGCCATTCAAATGAATACATATTAGGGTCGTATGTAAATTTTCGAAAAAACTGAAATAATTTTTTTCCCGCAGTAATTTGCCATTTTCTTTCTCAATAGACCATCTGCCATCAAGGTAAAGAAATGGATAAAATGCTGTTTACCCATAGCTGTGGGAGATAATAGATGGATTCATAATTTCCCAAGGATGCTAGCATGTAAGTAGATAAATGGATTTGACTTATCTATTGAACTCAGACTCTCGCCTAAATATGAGTTGCTATCCATTACTCCACTGTCCCAATCTAGTACTGCACTTAAATTCATAAAGTCTAGAATTCGAACTCTGCTCTCCAATTCCTTAATCTGAACCGTTATCCATTATATCCAGATGCCAATCTATATAAATGCCTTTTGGAATTCATAAAAATCCTGATACCATAGTTCAAAGAGTTCATCAGAAATAGGTTTGGTTCATTGGACTTAGTGGAGGATTTCTTTTCGATTGTTATTAGGTAATAATCTGACTCCACCAAAATTACTACATTGGTATACGTTATGCTTAAGGGCATGAGTAAACTAGTATTGATAGGAACCTTGACATAGTGTAATGGTTTTGTGAATCAAGTTTGGTTGGTCATTAGTTCTAATTAGTGAGTTTGATCTTCATTGTGTGTGCTACACAAACCTAATGAGGGTTAGCATGTAGCAAAATCAATCCACCTCATTTCCCAGAGTTAGATTTTACAATAATTTTATAGTCTGAGTATTTTATGGTTAGTTATATTTATTTATTTATATTTTCTTATCTGAGAGAAAGGTGCAAAGCAACAGGTAGTTTTTGATGTGTTGATTTTATTTTTTAATCAAAACTGAAATCTGCAAATGAACAAACCCATCATTTTCAGTTTTGGGAGTTCAAGTGCTGATACTGGGATTTTTACTTCACATTTATTTTGTTCTGTGTTTTCTTTAAATTTAGAATTTTCTTTTCTTTTCTTTTTTTTTTTTCTCAATTCTTGTGAATATTTTAGAAGTTTTTAAAAAATTTTGCTTGATAGTGGTTTATCTTGGTTTTTGCTTTTAAATAATTTTTAATATGAGAGCAAAAATGGCTGAGTTAAAATACTCGTCAAAAATGATCTAGTTAGCGAAAATCTTTATTCTGTGAGAAAATTTATTTAAATGGCCTTCATTTAAAAACGAAATTGAGTAGCATTATCCTAGTAATTTTCCCATCATTTAATCAGTGTATTGCAAGAATTCCTGATATTAACATTTCTATCTGTCAGATTGGTGAAATCAAAATAAGATCTTTTTTCTTTTTTTTTTTTTTTCTACAAAGTGGCAGTTCTTGGAGAAGGTGTATAATTAGGTTACTAACTATATTTTTGAACTTGCACACTTTGAACAGAAGCAGAGATTTATCCCTTGTTTCATGTTTAGGATTGGATTTCCAGTTCTTATTTTCAACTCTATACTTTTAATGTCTTCACCTAGTATATCTTTTTGATGATAGTATATGTCATATGTATACTAGCAGCAAAAAAGTTCTAGGGTCAGATTTGTTTTTATATTCTTAGCTCTCTCTCTGTTTTTTTTTTTTTTTTTCCGATTTACATTATTCCTTTTTGATGGATCTTTTATAGCAGTTCCCAGCTGTTATTGGCTGTAGGGACTGGGAATTTGTTTGTCTTTGCTGAAATAGCACAGAGTAGATAGGTTCAATTTTTGAACTGGTCTCTTGAACAGGGTAGAGGGATTATCCCTAGTTTCCTGTTTTAGGATTGGGTTTTTGGTTCCTTATAAAGGTTTCTCATTCTTTCATTCTCAAAAGAGCTGATCTTTAAATAATCCTTAAAGCCTTTCTTTCTTGGGGTGAATTGCTCAAAAAAAAAATCAGTCAAACTTCCTTCTTACATTTTTGGAAACTTTGGCATATGAAGGAAATAAGGATGATTTAACTCTTGAAGTAGTATGATGAGTTCTAGCAATAAAGTTCTGAACTAGTGGGACTACAGAATGGAATGCGCATCTGAACATTTGCCATGGAAATAGTGATAGAATAGCAATAGGCTTGCAATGTTGAATGTTTGGGAAAGAGTCTGTTTTGAGTGCAAATTTCTCTTTACATTTGGAATATGGAGGTTGTTTGACTTTGTATGGTATGTCCTTCTTGAAAATCTGAATTGGTGAAACGAAACAATTGAGCTCATCTGAACATTTGCCATGGAAACAATGTGTGGTGGTAAAGCAACAACTCAACTGATAATAGCAGATAGGAAAGTTTGGAGGGTAACCGATTTATAGTTTTTTTTTTTTCTTTGTTTCTCACCAAAGGAAAAACTCATTCCCCAGAAACAAAAAAAAATGGCTTTATACAGCTATGTTCCAGCCATAATTTTTTTTCTGGAAATGAGAATTCCGTTAACTGTCCAATGTTGGCATAAAAAACATGGGAGTATCCATTTTGGTTCTTTTAAGTTGACCAATGAGTTTTTTTCGTTTCGAGGTAGGCCATTTTCACAATTTTCCCACACAATTAGAGGCACAAGTAGTCTAGGAAACTGCATTTTGTAATTGAGTGCCCACAGAGTTCAAAATAAGTCTTCCTCTACAAGACCATGTAAACATGTTTTCTTTATTTTTATTTTATTGGTGTTTTGAAATTTGAATGTTCAGATATTTAATATAAAAAAACCTGAATGACTGAATTTCCTCCAACTGTTCAAATGGTTACAATGGATGAAGTGTGATACGAGTGAAAACAGAAAATGGTAGGATGTGAAGATTATTAGGATAAGGAAGCTAGCTAACAATTTAAATCTTGACATGAAGAGAATACTAAAAAATAGACAGGGAAGCATTCATGTGGGAATCTGTTCCACAAAGTAGCAGTGACTTAAACATCCTATCAA